TATTGTGTTCTTTCAGGAAGAACTGTACCACCACAAATGTAGGGGTGTTGGGTAAAAACAGCATCCATTACGCGATACGAGGATGAGTTCGAGGTATTCACGCGTACGTAATCAAGCTCTCAAACTAATTCGAGCAACGCACGGAAGAACAAAATTACCTGGATTGATAACAGTCCAACCAATAAACTTCTTCTTTTTTTTTTTTTTTTTCAATAGCTGAAATTTCACGTGGGCAAAAAAAATCTCCAACTCATCTCGGAGAAAGATTTCAAATGTCCACGTATCATCGCAAACCAACAACATGAACCACAACGAAACAAAACACGGTTCATTTTCTTCACCTGCTTTTCTTTTTTTTTTTTTTTTTCCCCACAATGGTCCGAAGAACCCCCATAGTTCCCAGCACCGAAGCGTGTGCCCATATTAATTCTCTCCCCCCGTCATTTGCTTCCAACTCTCCGACAACAATATACGATTTCCTCCAAGGGTATACACAACTCCACGCGATGAGCCATTAATCATCGCTCGCGTGATGAAACGCTACCCCTCCCTGTATACACACTACACCCTAAACGAAAGAAACAGAAGAAGACGTAAAATAAAAACTCTACAATTTCTCTCCGCCCTACCCCCCCCCCCCCAGGTCAAACTGTACCCCTCTATCGAGCGATTGCACCGAGATACGTGAGCTACGCCTCATATCTCCGATGTCCATTGCGAGAATCACAAGTCACGAGCGCGTACGCTTGACCTCATCCGGCAAAGTTCGCGCATTGTGTTTTTCCATCAATATACCCTCACGACATGATACAAGATTGTATATATATATTATAGTGCTGCAAGAAAAAGCCACTCGGCTATTATACCTATGGAGGTATAGGTTCGCGGGAAAGAGCACTCTCGGCGCGGCATCAAAGTCGAGAGTCCATGCCGCAACTTTAGACGGGGGGAGGGGCACCGCAATCTGCCGGCGGCTAAACTGACCGTTGGTGTTCCACCCCCCACCCTTTAGCCGCCCGTTTCTCTCGGGTTACGTGTATACGTGTACCGGATACCGGGCCCTGTATATATATATATATATATATATACACTTGTGCACTGTACACGGGACAGCTCGGTCGACCGACGATATGCGACTCTCATCGTGTCACGCGACTCGACTCTCATACTATATGTATATATACCCCCGCTCGTTGTATGAATGTCGAGATGTGGTTGAACGCTGACTTTGTATAAATATAGCTGGTGTAATAGATGCGGCTGAAAGACAATAATTATTATGCACCGTCATTTCGATTGGCTTTGGAAAAATTCTCCGGTTTTATGTTTGTGGTCAAATGGCGAGTGATTTGTCTGAGTAAGTAAGACTGTAACCGAGACTAAGTAAATACGATTACTGTCGCAAATTTTTTTTTTTTTTTTTTTTCCTCTTCGATCCGTTGATGTACAGTTTGCACGATCGTTTGCTATTGTGATGCTTTTGGGAAAACTATATTTCACAACATGATTCGTTGCGAGTGAATAAACTGGTAGGAAGAAAAGTTGACTGAACGCTTTAACAGTGATGAAAGATTTGTAAAATCTGTGCAATCAACCATCGATCATCGATGGTCAAGCGAGCTTGCACTCGCAGTCGTAGAGCTCGTAAAACATTTGCACTTGGGTAATAAATGAGACAACGAAGTTTGATACCGATCGATCTCGAGCTCCCGCAACCACTAGCGACCGCGATTAATATTTCAACGCCCTTCCACTCGCTTTTGGCATCAATGATCGATTCAACGCTACGCCACGTTGTACCAACTTGGTACGAAGGGTTGAAAAAAGTCCTGCCATACATATATGTACCCACCTCGAAAAATTTGTTGTTCATTTCTTTGCGAGAGTTTCTTGGATGTACCCTCTAATCTCGAATGGTCGTTTTTTTTTTTTGCACATATTTTACCGCCCCTTCCACGAGAGTGCAACGTGTTTTCACGTACACTTGCGCCTGTACTGTTGAAAAAGCTCATTTGATCCTCGTCGTAGAACATGAAAGTAATGCTTACTTAATCGTTATAGGTATTGAAATTGAAAATATATTTTGTTGCTACTATAGAGTTGAATCGTCTCGATTCAAAAAGTTGAAAAAGTGTTACGTGTAAATCGAAACTAAAAATCAGAGGACTGCATTTTCCACCATAAATCGAGTTTTGCTGGCGCCCTTTGGGAAGTCAAAGCCTCGATTGAAAATGTGAAAAGGCTTAAAAAAACAACAACAACAAATTTATTGTTAGCTGGTAAAAAAGTTTCCATGGTCCCAGCAAAAAAGGAGGAAAATCGTAAGAATGAGCTCATAAACTTGATTCTCCATTACTTCCGCGTACATTGGGAGTAGACTGAGCTTTCACAGGATTTAAAGTACGCGCACGAATATTCTCACCCCCTACAGTTCCAAAAACATAGCGAGAAATTCACATGGTCTCTCGTCAGCAAAGAAAAAGCTTCACGCCTCTTACCTGCAAGCTCCCACGAAAGCTTCGTACATGCGTGCCCCCTTGATCAACATGTAAACGTGAAAAAAAAAAAAAAAAAAAAAAAAAAAAAAAAAAAAAAAAANACAAAAAATGATATTTTTATATTATAATCTAAACTTTGCTTTCTATTATCATATATCACATTATAAGCCATAAATATGTCAATCATGAAATGCTTTCATTATAAAATTTTATCATTGATAATAATTCGCATTTAATAATTGTGCGCTCAATAACTATGCACGATCGTTCGGATTATCGACACTTAAATTCTTATTGTTATTATTTAACGAATCGAAAGAGACGTTCAATCAAACGCATACATTAAAATATTGAGAGAATCACTGTATCGAACAAATTCTTTTTATTTTAATATTCATATTATTAACTTTGTTCCGTAAAATCAAACTGAACCTTTTTCATTGCTGTCAATATTTAACGATTTATTTTAAAGCTACGTAATCGAATAAATTTACCGTGACAATAATTAGGTACCAAACATATTTCACCCAGTTGTACCAAAACAATGAGTAATGTTAATATAAATAAAAAATGTTCAGCAAAGCCAATTTTTTAAATAATAATTCAGCTATTAACATGAGGATATCGAGGTTATATCAATGATTCGCATTAAACTTGCACAACTTCTTTATTGATCATGTGCAGCTATATTCATTGCCATATTGATTTTACCTTCTCTATCGCGCAAATATATGTTTACTTGATGTAACTGCATGTAGAGGACTATCACTGTAGTTTATCTGGCCACTTAATTCCGTTCGATAATCAAATAGCGTCGAATAAAAATAATTTCTTCTTAGGTATACATGTTTTCTCTGTGAAAATAATATACGAGCCTAGTATGTTTTTTTTTATTTCAGTAAATTTAAATTCACTCTATTATTTGTTGAAGTTTTGAGTAATAATTATCTAGAGGGAGCTTGTAAATTTATTGATTCAAAATTTTGTATTAATATTTCAATTACCTTTTTTATGTTTTTTTTTTTTTTTCTTTTGATACCCCGGTGCTAGAGAATCAAGGATACGAAATCAACGGCCAACACAGCCAAATAATTCTCAGTTTATGGTATGTAGGTAGTTTTGAGTTTATTCTTTTCAAATATGGGAAAAAAGTTTTAAAAAATTGACGTAATTTTTCCAAACTTAGTTATGCAATCACATTCGAACAATTTTTTACTTATAAATATATTTACTGTCCTATTCTTCCGAACTGAGCTCCGCAAAAGTTTATTTTTTCCCCTCGTTCGTCTCGCATCAGACTATCGAACGTACTTTTCTCCCTTCAACCTCCCCGAAATGTCCGAGGAAGCATTTCACACTCTTTATTTATCTGAGAGAGGTGTCTCTTATTTTAGATCCCGAATGAAATATAACAGCACTCGCTACTTCGAATATACGTAAAAGTTTTCCGTGTATCTCTCGCCTCGTGGATGAAAAATGTGTTATTTATTCAAAATCATGCTAATAATACGCGCGCAGGAATATCTCGATACTCGCACTTGATATTTTTATCAATGAAAAAAGTGCGGCTGTGGTTTTTTTACAAAATGTCGATAAATTAATAAAAGTGCGTTAAATATAATTGTTCGAAAATACATTGAAAAAAAATTCCAACTATAAGACCGACCAATTATATTTATTTACTCTTTGCATGATTGTTAATGAAAAAAGAATGAATAAATAAATAAACTTTGTAGAAAAATTGTTTCATTTTTTCACGCTGTTTCAACTGAAACTCAAAAAAACTAAATGAAAAACGAAATGTTTGAAAAATAGATGAAAAATAGAACATCACACAATAAAAATGCACAGGTATATTATACACTGTCATAACGATGAGTAAAAATCTCTTACTGATAAACTCGTTCAACGCGAGACAATAAAACCTCTCTCGGAAAAAATAAACAATATTATCAATACAAAGATTTTGCTCGCAGTATTGCCAACAACAGTCCGACGGTAAGTCTGGAACTCTCACGCAATGCATTTACAAAACAAATACCTGCTCTCTCGACATCATAATAACAACAACAAAATAAGCGCTCTGCCTCCGATTAATAACCTCATTTCTACACAGCCATTAAAATCCAACCTTCGACAATCATCGTTCCAGAAGTTCATAAAACCCCTTCTACCTCTCTTTTACGTAAAACTAATTTTTTTTTTTTTTTTTTCTTTACGATATTTTGCTTTTAATTCACCGCAGAAGCCAAGTGGCTGACGTATAAGTATGAGCCGCTTGCCGACTTTTTTTTATCAAATTCGGATAGACGTGCGCAGAGGTAACGTGAAAAAAAGAGCGAATTGTAATAGACTTGAGAAAATAATTTTGGCAGAGAATGGCGAGCTTGGTGTCTGTTTCTCTTTTGATGCATGAAAATATATTACCGATTGTTTCTTTTTTTTTTTTTTTTTTTTTTTTTTCTTCAAGTTGACGTACAAAAATATTGGTGAAAGGGGGAAAAATTGAGTTTTTTGTGATCACTTTGCTGTTGTTGTTGTTCTTGTTGTTGTTGTTCTTGTTTTCGTCGTCGCCCAGTGCTTTGGATACCACGTACACGCGTCGTTCAAGATTCAAGCTCGCAAGTAAGTTCCATCAGTTGAACTTTCACGAAGCGATTTTTTTTTTTTTTTTTCCATCTCAACCAGCGAACGGTGACTAATACAAGTGGTTTTGCATAACAAAAATGCGGGGCGGAGTGTGTGCACAAGTTGCTCTTTGAAAATCATGGTCTGCTCATTTTTTTTTTTTTTTTTTCTTTTTTGCGCGCGATGAATTGGATTGTTACGCGGCAACCGGTGATTAGGATGATTGTACCTACACGTCGACGCGACAAGGCGCGCGTTCTGTCTCTCTTTTGCTCTTTGAGTCTCTTTAGAGCTGGTCGGTGTTTGAACGACTCGTTTGGCTCGCCTGATTTTTCGGACGCAATGGTGTGTGCATGCGCGCACGGGTGACCGAATACTCGCCCACGACGATATTTTTACGCAAAGTTTTTAGTTTTTCCGAACTAGGGGGAGGGGCCGTTTTTAATGGTGATGTGTGTCCGTGAAGCAAATCGACTGTCTGGGTGTTGTTTCGTTTCGTCTGTTTACCAACTTTTTCGTTTGTTCGTCGGTGACACGTTATACGTGTACCGAGTGCTTTTGTAGTGTTAATAAATATCGATTCGGTCGGTAATTACATTGACACTCATTTCTATACATTTTTGTTTTATTCGTGATTAAAATCTACAATTGGTGCATACGGATATTGCTGCAAGTTTTTTTTGCTTTTTCCCTGGAAAAACAGTTTAAAGTGTTTCAAACTAATATAGGTACTTTTCCTCGACATGATAAGTGTACGTGTCGCCCATCTGTAAAAGTGCTATAAGATTCAACGTAAGCTAATGCGATATATCAAATATTCTACTTCTTATTTTTATTTATACAGATTCTTTGAATTCTACATAACTTTGGCGATATTGAAGAATCTAATTAATTTTATCTGGATTTAGTGAAATGAAAGAAAATTATTCAAAGTATTTGAGTAAACAAATGTTAAAATGTAAATGAGTACTTTTTTTTTTTTTTTTTTAACTTTCTTAGGCAATATTCTTAAAAACAATATGTAAAAAAAAAAATAAACAAATAAAGGTAAAAATAACTGACTGTAGCAAAAACTTTGTCATTTCAAACCTGTATTTAAAAAAAGAAAAAATTTGATTCGGGTGTCTATTTACAGACAAAAAAATTGCTAGTGGGTTGTCAGCTAACATTACGTCGATAAGATTAGATAGAGCGGTAATTTTAGTGTAAGGTTGCATTGAAGCTCATTACGTGTTGCATATACTCGGCTACGGGAATGTTGATGTTTAAATTCGGCAAACTAGAAAAGTTTCCTTGGATATCGAATAATATATTTTACGACTCAAAAAAAAAAAAAAAAAAAAATACAGATGCGTCAACGAAATTCATCACTGGTAATAAAAGTGTTGATTTTATGCAAAGTTCACACTTTGTAATTCATCAACAAGTGAATCATCTCGAAAATCTGCATTAGATTCGTCGCTTTTTATATGTGTTGGCAATTTTTAATTATTTTACTTTTTGGCTGCCTCATTTTCCTCATTGATAATAAACTAGGTATGAAAAACGACGCTGATGTCATCGATGTTAACGTGAAATTTGTGCTTAAAAGTCTTTTTGCTATAAAATGCTGGTATCTTATTTTTTCACCAGCTCATTTTCAAGTGATTAAATATTTTTATTTTGTTTATTTCCACGTATTCAAATTAATTAATTTTCTGTGCATAGACTTGGGTAAAATTACTTTATAAATTTTTATAGACTTAAAAAAATTTTTTTCTAATTA